GCAGTCTGCCTCAGTCCCCCAACAGCCTGCGCGGCCCTTGGTAACCCGAGCGACGACCGAGCCGGTATAACTTTCGAAGGCGTCAATACCATGAGTGGCAGGTGGCTGAATTTTACGGAGACTTGCCAACCCTCCTCCTTTCTCATCCCGGCTTGGGACCGGCCATGGCGGAGTTATACGTCTTTCCATGACGTGTTTAATTGTCAGCAGTTAATGAATACCTTTCAGGCTTAGAATCAACGTTTCACACCCATAGGTTAGTACCGGGAGCAGATACTGATCGTATGCTTTACGTTTCAACCACAAGGGCAGTTTTTCTGATAAGAAAATATTCAGCCTTCCAAAAGTGATACATTCTCATTTTTGCTCTTCTGTTGATATCACAGTCGATTCTTTGTTGCAGAAATTAATTAAATGTTAGAGCCTAATTTCGTTGACTTCGACTGGTAGTGTGGTCGCATACTTGTTAAACATGACCTGAGTTTTCATGTTCAGTCCTCCTTTGATGCTGGCATGTTCATCGGTTGGATTCTTCATTGCAATTTTTCTGGTGACTTTAGAAGATATGTATGTCGCCCTCAAACCGCATCTGACTTATACAAGGCCCATTTATGTTCAGCCGTTGATTTTTCTGACGAAAGTCTTCAAACCTTCTTCAACTGCAGAGGTTTTGCGTTTGCGGTTCGCACGCCCTTTTCGATTATGATGTATCACTTATCCCTGTGCGCTAGTGAAGTTTCACACTGGCAGCTGAATTCTTGCGAATTCTGGACCTCTGTATCTTTTCTCAATTTTTCTCAACCTCAAGAAATCCAGTACTGAATCTGCCTTTCTCCATAATCGTATCTAACAAATTCTCTGAAATTTATTGCAATACTATGTGCAGCTTGCAACAGTCATCTTCACATTATGAAGATTTTATATTTTTTCGTCTCTGCTGCACCTCCGCTTTTCATATCTATCCAGTGTGATTTTATTTTCCATTGGGCCTCTTAAAGTCTGTAGCGTTTCACCGAACCTTCGAACCATTGTGTGTTGTAAGTGTACTTTTTGTTTAGCTTTTTATGCACATGTGACTTTTGCTTTATTCCTTATCGATTACTTTTTCTTTTTCATGTCTTAGCAATATAGCATTCAGTGCGTGTCTCAGACGGTCGTTCATCTGGCAGTGAACTAAGTTTGATGATGATTACTCATTGATTTCTCAGAAACGTGGAAACCCTGCCCCTCGCCCGCCTTTTCTTTGCTGTTTATCGCGTTTGATTCAGTAATTATATGTATATATTCATGTATTTGTTTATTCAAGATTTCGGAGACACTGGTACCGAGGCGGCAATAATTCTTGTAGTCGCACGGACTTAGTTTTCATTCCCTTGCCGGATTCGCCGCTAGCCAGGAAACGACAGCGAGAAATACTCAAGAAACAGTCGGAAATCAAGGAGGAGAAGGTGAATCATTGTTTTAAATTTTGTTTATTAACAAGATCTGTTTCGAAACTTTTAGAGAGAACGAACTCCAACGGTTTGTATTCGAGGGCCTAGTCAAGTGTCGATGTCTTCCTCTCAACCAATGCAAGCTACGATGGGTTTCAACCCGGTGTCCTCGGCTACCTGCAGTACGGCGGCCGTGTACTCGACGTCAGCGATGAATTGCGGTCCGGCTTCGTTTCCTCCCGGGCTTTCTCCGTTCACTCTGTGTTTCGGCACTAGTCAAGACCTACCTGCCCTGCAGCGGCTGAAGGAGTACGCGTCCGCGGCGACAAACGCTTGCGTGCCTGGTTCCTCGACATTCTATCAAGCGGCGCTGCTGGACCCTGTTCTGCAGTACCGCATATCCGCCGGTCTGTACGGCGCTGCCGAGAAGGAACGGTAACACCTTTTTGCATTTTTTGTTAAGCGTTTTCGCCATGTCTCGTGATACCTGTATTGTTTTAGTTTTGAGCAAGAGGCACAGGAGCGCCAACAAGAACAGCTTAAGCGTGACTACGAGTATGCCACAAAGCCGATGTATCAGATGTCGAACAATGCCCTCGCTTCGAACGCCGCCGTTAACATGGGCTTCACCGCCGCGTCCATCAATGCCATGAACGCCTCAGGCGGCGGCACCGATTCTCGTCAGTTGTTCGGCGTTCCCGGACAGTACTCTCCTGTGAACAATACGGCGGCCATGGGCCTGTCACCGAATCAGGCAGCTGCATTCCCGTACCAGTCCCTAGACGCCAATGCTTTGGAGCGATTTCACACCGAGCGTCTTCTTGCTGAAAGAGTTCAGCTGGGTAAAAAGAGTCGATCATCTTATTGTAGCAGCGTCTGTTGCTGTATTTGTAATGCTCATTTGAGATTGTCCTCAGGTCTGCAAGCAAATCTGAATCTCGTAGATCCTAAGAAAGATCAGCAACATCGGTAATATAACTGACATGAAATTCACTTCCAGTTGTATTCACGGAAGGCATTAATAGAACTCTGCATAAGGTTCAGAATAGGCAGCTTACGGGCAGAGTGCAGGTCGAATGGTTCATTTATACAGAAATTTATCGTATCTCGCATATACGCCGTGGAATTCAGGCTATTAAGCATGTATGATAGGAAGCTGACCAGAATTTTCGGAATAGCCTTTCAGGGCAGCTGGTCCCACGACCTGAAAGGGATAATTGACTTTGAAAATTAATGGATGAACAACAGTTTATATTTCGGATACATTAGGTAGATTGTTATATAGAATATGAATACAGAGTGAGGAAAACCTGTTGATCCATTAAAGTCTTGGGATACTCTCCCTCACTTGTACCCAAATCGCAAAAGCTAATTTAGTTACCACTATAGCCTGACAGCGCCTTGATTTGATGTCATTGAGAATTGGACATAATTTTTGTGCTAAACAAAATTTTTATTGTTGATATGGTCCATAACCACTGAACTTCTTCTCATACTAAGTAGAACCATATCTTCGTACTTTGTGCTACAAAATAGCTGTACCTGAAAGTGGTCCGTTCTGACAAAGCAATTAACGGTACTGTAAACTGCGGGATGCGCTGAAGTATGTAAAGGGAATACTCCCCAAATATAGGCAGTCAGATTCGCGACGGTACGATTGCGCAGTGACTTAGTGAGCTGGCGCAGTCAGAAAAATTTAATCATGAAATGAAACTCATCTTAGAAATACAGTAGTTTGACAGAGGTTTCGTACTCTGCTCACACCTTTTCACAGATTTGTAAAACGGAAAAGGGCTGATTAAGTGATACCGTAGATGCAAGCGACCACCGTTCAATCATATAGACGGGAACTGGTGGCCATAGCATTGCGCGTTGGCGACGACAATCGATCGGCCTAGTTCAGACGTCATAGATTACACTTCGACGTCCCTGTCTTTGTGATAGGTTGTCATTCAGCATCGGTCGACTAACAAGGTAATGATGGCCTAGGTTACTCAAGCTTCTTGCTTTTAGAGGGAATTCTGCTTCGTAGTAGAATTAAAAATGAAAAAGAGCTATTCATGTTAATTTTCGGGAGATGTTGCACTTCAAAATTTTTGGCTTTGCCTCCAGGCGGAGGACGGCGAGTTTCGGCTAATTTTAACTAATGAACGAAGCATGTGGGTGTTAACAACGATATACATAGGGTGACTTTCGATCGAACACCTTAATGCTTACTTTAATCATGCTAGCAGACACACTAAAATGCTTCTGTAGATATTACTTTCATTTGTATGAAGCTAGGCGTATCGAATATTCCACCGTATTGTGTAGACACATGTTTTACTGTGGTTTGATTAGGTTTTCTTTCAGAACGTTTGACCGCGTTGTATCCTGCCAACCCGATGCTTCGTTTGGAGCTGGATCGTCTGACTGCCGCTCTGACAGCTTTGGCTGCCCAGCATCACACACACTCGCACACACACTCGCATACGCATCTGCACATCCATCCTTCGTTGGCCAGTTCGTCGGTGCAGCAAGATACGGGCCCAACGAGTAGCGTCGCCGCATCCACGTCTCTGTGGTCGGCGTCACAGACGCCGAACATGACAGACAACTTCATGCAGCAATACGTGAACTTGTTCCGC